TGTCTCTGCACGTGATGTCCACCCTGCATGGGGGCCTTCACTGCCCTGTCACTTCCTCCCTGTCTCCGCACATGATGTCCACCCTGCATGGGGGCCTTCACTGCCCTGTCACTTCCTCCCTGTCTCTGCACACACTGGCCACCCTGCATGGGGGCCTTCACTGCCCTGTCGCTTCGCAAACAGCTGCTTATCTCAGAATCCTCACCCCAGATGTCATCTCCGGGAGTCTTTCTGACACCTCTGGGAAATGATGATCTATCCCTCCTTTGTTCATATCTCATTATGCTGAACATGCAATCATCTTGTCTTGTAATTTCTGAATGTTCTTTTTTTTCCCCCTTGTTGGACTATAAATTTCTGGAGGGCAACCAAAAAAACCCCCAAACCCATTACCATTGAGCTGATTATGACTTATGGTGACCCCATGTGACAGAACAGAACTTCCACAAAGGATTTTCTTGGCTGTAATTTTTATGGAAGTGGATCACCTGGCCTTTCTTCCACAGCACTGCTGAGAGGGTTTGAACAGCCCACTATTTGGTTAGTGGTCAAGTGCTTAACCATTTGTACCACCTAGGGACATCTTGAGGGCAGAGTCACCCCTTCATCCTTAGCCTCGTAATGGTGTGTGTGCTGCAAACATGTTTGTTGAGCGAATGCCTGATCTGAGAAAGAGCAGGGCAGGGCTGGCCCTGGGGGCTGATGAATTAGAGGCAGAGCCCACGCCTTTGTTGTTTTCCAACACCATTTTCTCCTCATGACTTTGCATGATGCGGTATGTCCAGGTGAGAGACAGAGGCCTTGTCCAGTAGGTGCAAAGGTTTTTGTTTCAGTAAAGGAAAAGCTTCGGACTGATGTCTCTGATCTGGCCACCTTCTCTTTTCTGACTTCCTTTTCTATTACACTGGAGCCTTGGTGGCACAGTGATTAAGAGTTTGGCTGCTAACCAAAGGCTGGCAGTTTGAATCCCCCCTCTGCTCCTTAGAAACCCTATGGGGCAGTTCTACTCTGTCCTATAGGGTTGCTATGAGTCGGACTCAACTCAACAGCATCGGGTTTGTTTCTGTTATTCTACCTTTCCTGGAAATGAAGCTAGATGAAGGACTTAGCTTCCTCATCTGTGACACCAGAGACTTGGATCGACGTTCCCCGTGGTCCCTTCCTGTTCTGACATATTTGATTCCGAGATGTATCCAGCTCAGCACAGAAGGTGGGAGGGAGAGTGAAGGAATGGAGAGGGTAAGAAATAAAGGTAAGGAGGGACAGGAGGACGGGGAGACAGAGGGACATATTGCTTTGTTGCTCAGGTCCCCATGTGATAAGAGTGTTCTGAAATCACGTGCAGTTGGTTAATATATTCTAATGGCCATAGTTAAAGTGTAGCTATGACCGAGAGTCCTGGTGGTGCAGTGGTTAAGCGCTCAGCCGCCAACCAAAAGGTCGGTGGCTCGAACCTACCAGCCGTACCGCGGGAGAAAGATTTGGCAGTCTGCTCCCATAAAGATTACAGCCCTGGAAACCCTCTGTTGTTGTTAGGTGCCGTTGAGTTGGTTCTGACTCATCGTGACCCAATGTACTACAGAACGAAACCCTGCCCAGTCCTGCGCCATGCTCACAGTTATGCTTGAGCCCATTGTTGCAGCCACCGTGTCAATCCATCTCATTGAGGGTCTTCCTCTTTTTCTCTGACCCTCTACTTTACTGAGCATGATGTCCTTCTCCAGGGACTGATCCCCCCTGACAACATGTCCATAGTATGTAGGACGCAGTCTCGCCATCCTTGCTTCTAAGGAGAATCCTGGTTGTACTTCTTCCAAGACAGAATTGTTCACTCTTTTGGCAGTCCGTGGTATATTCAATATTCTTCGCCAACACCACAATTCAAAGGCATCAATTCCTCTTCGGTCTTCCTTATTCATTGTCCAGCTTTCATATGCATATGATGTGATTGAAAATACCATGGCTTGAGTCAGGCGCACCTTAGTCTTCAAGGTGACATCTTTGCTTTTCAACACTTTAAAGAGTTCTTTTGCAGCAGAAACCTTATGGGGCAGTTCTGTTCCATCCTGTAGGATAGCTGTGAGTCAAATTGACTCCACAGCAGTGGGTTTATGCCTGAGAGAGGGACAGGTGACTTTCTGACTTCTCTGGGTCAGGCGGAGTGACCAAGAACCCAGAGCACAGTGGAGATAAGCTGGATTTGCCCTTGAGCATGGGGCAGAGTTGGATTAGAGAAACAGATAAGGTTTTCATTCAAGCGAGTCCAGAAGTCAGGAGAACTAACTCAAGGCCTGCTGAATCCTTGGCCCAACCTGAACTGGAAGTACAGTTTGGGGACAATGCAGAGATCCTACTGGCGAACCAGGGCATGGAACTCACCTCCCTCTAGGCTGAAAGCAGGAGACCAGGTCCTATTGGCAACCAGGACCTGGGCACAAACAGACCAGGGGAGGAAAAAGAGAAACCCTAGACTTAAGAGTCTCCGAGTCAAACTGTCCCTCAAAGCTGGAGCACACCTACCTGTTCTCTGAGCTGTGTTGCCATGGCGTAGGCCCGCCTCCAAATAAACTGGGGCCTCAGGTGACCTTGTCACCACTTTGGTTTCACTCTGCACACCCTGAGAGTGTTTTTGTCACTACTGCTGACTGCAGAGGGCAATAAACCCTCCAGCCAGTGGTAATAAAGGCAAAGTACCTGCTAGTCCAGACCAGAGAAAAAGTGGGGGCAGGGCTGGGGAGTACACTCTTTCCTCCTCCCCACCCCATTTTTGTCCAGCGTTGTCGGAATGGAGTGTGTCACTTTCCGAAACCAGCCTTCTGCTTTAGAACTCTCTCCCTGTGATGCTGTATGTCATTCTGCGTTCCTAGATCGCCCACAGCATCCTTGGGAATTGGAGGTGGGGAGTGTTGGTAGATGTGGTAGCGTGTCCGTGAGGAATTGCCTGGGGCCTGGGGACAAAGAGTTGCAGAGAGAGATTTAGGAAGTTATATGCTGGACTCAGACCACAGCCTGGAAGGGAAGACAGAAGAGCTTGCCTGCAAAGAGCTGGCAGCCATTGTGGCTCAGGTATCGCCACCCTGTAGTTTGGGGACGATGCAGAGATCCTGTAGTTGTCTTGTGGCTAATTTTGGAACTCTAAAGGAAGGTGGAGGCAGTTTAAATTAGAGGAGGAAGAGAGGGAGCAGCGTTCAGGAAAGTGCCTGTGCCCAAGAGTGTTTGGAATAAAAACTGGGACAAGAGCCTCCATTGTGCCATATGCCATCCCCACCCTATTTCCTGAAGTAGTTAGCATTGTGGGGTCCATGTTTTTAATTCCTCTTGTTTCCTTTCTACACGGTTTTACTAGATATGTAATACCTTACGTACAATACAATCAAAATGTTTTCTATTTTTATTGGTTGTAACTGTACAAAGCATATCATAGATCATCCTTTGAGAATTGGTATTTGCAATTAATATAATTTTGCTTAGACTCAGCTTTGCTAACACTGGGAGCTGCTCAGAACAACTTCTGAGCTTCAGAGGAGTCCAGGTGCCTGGGGCCCGGCTGGCATACAGACCCCCTCCTCTGCAAGCAGGCCCTCAGGGTTCTAACCTGCGCTGGCATTGTGACAGACTATGGGCAGCAAGGTGTGGAATCAAGGGACATTGGAGACACTGTCTGGAGGGAGGAGATGGGGCCGAGGACCAAAGACACAGTTCCAATGTAGTGCCAACCAAAGGGCCAGACCGAAACCATATCCAGGAAGACAGGGAAAACATAATAAAGAAGCCAGGACCCTAGAGGAATTTCTGGGAGGCTCTGGAATGTAGAGGCTTGTGCTGTCTTACAGGAGTTCAGCAAACTTACCCAAAGTGGGAAGGAGACTTAGAAGTGCTAAGCCAGTGGGCACACCTGGGAAGTGTTCAGGACACTGTGGTGTTTTTTCTCAATTTGGTTGGGAAGCCCACTGCTGCCCTACATATGAGGTGAGGCCTAGACATCCACAGTTCGCCTTGCACTCAACTGGTTGTATTCCTTTTCAGGGCCATGGAGGCTGTCTTCCCCAATAAAAGGAGCCTCATCTTATCCCGTTCTACTTTTGCTGGGTCTGGCAAGTTTGCTGGTCACTGGTTGGGGGACAACACGGCCTCGTGGAATGACCTCCGGTGGTCCATTTCCAGTATCCTTGAGTTCAACCTATTTGGCATCCCCATGGTGAGCCTCGCTTCCAATTAAGGAACTTTATCTCTTAGTCGTTTGACATTGTTCCCACCAGCAGTCCTTGAGGGTGTCTTACAACCAAGGAGCATGTGTTCCACCGTGATTTGTATTGGAAAAGCCAATTTGTATAGGTGGTCTGAGCTGCCTTCTGAAGTTAGGATGGTAGAACTTCATCAGTGGATTGGCATCCATGGACTCTCTGGGATTAGAAAGGAGATACCGGGAGTAAAATGTATTAGTATCACCAAACAATCCCACCAGAAGAGCATCAGTGGGTGGGAAAGTATGAAACCGGGAACTAAATCTGAGGAAAAGCCCTAGATACAAGGACCGATGTCCCCACCATCATTCAGCCTTCCCTCTCCGTTTGTCCTGTGATGCTCACTTGCTTGTTTCCTTCATTTTGACTGGGGTCTCTTCAAGCATGGAAGCATGGGGACAAGAGATTCTCTTTTCCCTCTTCACATAGGTGCAGTTAATGCCTTTGCCTCTCTCACTGACCGCTGTGCTTGTATGTGTGCTAACTCTCCAGGTAGGTGCCAATATCTGTGGTTATGAAGAAGATACCACAGAGAGCCTCTGCAGAAGATGGATGCAGCTTGGAGCATTTTATCCACTCTCCAGGAATCACAATGGGCCTGGCTTCGTGGTAAAGTCCCCCAAAAAGTGGTGGGAACTTCCTGAATTGTCTAATCTGCTTGTTCTCAAAGAGGAGTTGAGGAAAGTCCTACAGGTTGTTCCTAAATGCAGAAGCAGAGTAGGTAAATCTTGGGTGGTAGGCCTCAAAAGCAGGATATGGGAGTGGCAGTGAGAGAATGGGTGTGTGTGTACTGAATGGTTTTATTGTTGGAAATTCCCCTCTTCTTCCCTTTCTTCTTCTTCATCTCCTCCTCCTCCTCTTCTTCTTCGCCTTCTTAATATTACCAAGGGAAATATTTTCTAGAAATCTCTATATATAAAATAAATTAGAGGAGCCCTGGAGGGAGCAGGGGTCAAGATTGGAGCCCCACCTACCATGCCCCTTCATCTCCATGGAAACCCCTGGGGGACTTCTTTCCCACCCTGGGGCTCTCATAGGTTGGCCTCAGAAGACCTGAGTCAAATGCAAATGCTTCCACTTGCTCATTGGGGAAGTTATTTAGTCTTTGATATTGTTTTCTCACCTGTAAAATGAAGAGATAGAGCTAAGAGTCTTTTGTTTCTGGAAATGTCTTGACATTTTCCAAGTGAAGATGATGGAAACGCCCACTGAGTGCCTCTTTCCTCCTAGGACCAGGACCCCGCCGCCTTTGGAGCCGACTCCCTGCTGGTCAACTCCTCCAGGCACTATCTGAACATCCGTTACACTTTGCTGCCCTACCTGTACACCCTCTTCTACCTCGCCCACACCCGTGGGGACACCGTGGCCCGGCCCCTGCTGCATGAGTGAGTCCCCTGACTCCCGGTGACTCCATTCTGGGTCATAATTTCACCCTACGACCTTGCTGCTGCACCCTGAACTGGTGTGCTATACTGGCGGCATCACCAGCCTCCCTGGGCTCTCTTTTCGTTTTCCAGGTTCTACCAGGACCCAGCCACCTGGGACGTGCACGAGCAGTTCCTATGGGGGCCTGCACTCCTCATCACGCCTGTTTTACATGCCGTAGGTCTACAGTCTAAACAATGGGGCGGGATGTCGCGCATGCCTCATGCCTGTGTAGCTGACTAAGTTAGGTGCTAAGTAACTGTGACTCCATTTAAATATAAATGGGAGAGATAGAGCAGGGAAGTTTAGAAATTTAAAAAAAATAGCCCTTCTTGGTTCCACTGTGCCACCAAGTGAATGATTTCCATTTTGAAAAATCACCTTAAAACCCACGTCCTTAGGCACATGGCTGTGGCGTTGGATGGGCTTTAAGTGCCTTGGTGTGTGTGGGTTGACCATCTGTCTGTGTTTCCCTTTGTCCAGTGAGGATGTGTTCATGGGATTGGGTTGAGAAAGTATAGAGAGGAGCAAGGAGGAAGAAAGGAGCACTGGGCAAGGGGAGGTGTTACTCTGGAGTTCAGGTATGAAGGACCACACGTATCCTACTTACATGTGATTCATGGCAGAAGTGGGTGGGGAAGTCTAGGGGAGGAATCAGGATTATGCTGATGAGCCAAGAGATGTGACGGAGTGCCCCTGTAATCATGCCCAGGCCCTGGGAGCTGGTGTTTCAGCTGTACCATTTGATGGCTTGTCCTGCTAGCCAGCAAGGGGACTGCTGGGGGTCTCACCATCTCCTCCCATCTGTCAGATTTTACATGAGTGACTCGTCAATGGACATTCTCTGCTTCTCTTATAAAGTGCAGGGACATTGAAGCAAAAGAGACTTGATTTCTAGTTAGAGCTCTGCTTTCTCCTGGCTTTGGGTGAACAGCTCAAACTTTCTGAGTTTGTGTTTCCATTTGTAGAATGGGATGATCCCATCCATCGCTAGGATTGTGCAGATGAGCAAAGACTGTGACAGGGGAGGTCTTTAGTAAACTGTGAAGGGCAGTGTTCACGTACTCGTTCTTGTTGCTTCCCTAGGATGTGGACCAAGTGAATGCCTACATCCCGGATGCCATCTGGTATGACTATGAGACAGTAAGTGAGGCAGCCCCTGTGAGCACAAGACCTGCCCCTGGCAGAGGGCAGTTCTGATGGAGCAGTCTTGGGAGCTTGAGGTGGGAGAATAATACAAGGTTTACATTTTGTTGACTTGGGCAACTTTTCTGCAAGGAAGGCCTTTCCAAATGTACCATGACACAATTTGAGTAACTGGAACAGATGTATGGAAATATTTACTATCTCAACCTGGGCACCATGCAGCTGTTGAGATTAGCCTGGCCTTTGGCTGAGACCACCTGGAGACCTGAAGCCCAGTTATAAGCTACGACATGGTGTAATATAAGGAAATAGGGTCGGTTGGAGTCTCAGCTCTGGTCTTGACTACCTATATGCCTTGAGAAGTCAATTCACTTTTCTTCTTTAAAATGAGGTAACTGAGCCCAAGCCCAAAAAGCCTGTCACCTGATCTGTTTTCTTTTTGTTGATTAGGGAGTGGCCATCCAATGGAGGAAACAACAGGTGCAGATGCAGTTCCCTGAAGACAGAATAGGACTTCACCTTCGAGGAGGCTACATACTCCCCACCCAGAAGCCAAACACAACCACAGAGGCCAGGTACGCTCCTTCCTGTTGTAAGGAGGGAGCACTCTGAAACTCCAGTGGGCGGGCTCCCTGGGGAAGCAAACAGGGACTGGGAGTGGGTGAGCAAAGAGAAAATGTCTCAGCAATCACCCTCCCTTCTGTCAAGGTTGGTTCAGAATGGGAATCTCAGATTGCAGTTAGCAGGGCCGAAGCTAGCCTCTGCTCCATTGTACTTCCATAGTCTTGATTTTGGATTGGAATTAGTTTATAGGAATTGTCAAAATAATCAGTCGTGAGAACTTCCCTAGGGCTGGAGATTGTTGTCATGTAGATTCTGAAGGCATGAGGGAATGCAAGTTAAAATAGAGATCGTTGTTGTCTTGTGCCCTTGAGTTGATTCCAACTCATGACGACCCTGTATGACAGAGTTGAACTGCCCCATAGAGCTTCCTAGGCTGAAATCTTTATGGGGCAGATTGCCAGGTCTTTTCTCCCACAGAGCCACTGGTGGGTTTGAATGGCCAACCTTTCGATTAGCAGCTGAGTGCTTAACCAGGGCACCTTAAAATATGAGATAAGGCTTATCATATGAGACTCAATACAGCATGGAGGTCAAGAACTCAGACTTGAGACAGACAGTTTGGGTTCAAGCCCCAGCTCTACCCATTGGCACTAGAAGTGTTACCTTGGACAACTTGTGCTTCTGTTTCTCTTTGGTAAAATAAGGATGATGATGGTTCTAGTTTTTAGGGTTAAAATGAGAGTTAAGTGAGTCAAGATGAATAGGCACTTAGAAGAGTACCTGGCACATTATAAGCCACAATGCGTGTTAACTGTTAGTGTCATCACAAAGCCTGTTTTCAGCAGGAACTGCCTCCTTCCGCCATTCTTCTCATGCTCACCCATTACTAATCTCCGCTGCCTACCCACACCCAATTTCCATCCTTCCACAAAATGTCAGTATCTACTCTGTTTCTGGAATAGACCCTGGCACTATCTGTCCCTGGGGCATAGAGAGGGTGGTTGAGCGTAGTCCCATCTCTTCTTCATCCTCTAAAATGAAGACTTGCTGTTTTACAGCCGGAAGAATTCCCTGGGACTCATCATTGCCTTGGATCATAGGAGAGAAGCTAAGGGGGAGCTTTACTGGGATGATGGCATATCCAAAGGTAGACTTCCCTGTGCCACCCTCACTGTGGTTCTCAGTGAGAGCTAGCCTTATGGGCTGCCCAACAAGGCACTACACCACCATCCTTGCTGTTTGTTTCCGTAGCTTAGACTCACTGGATTAAAGAGCATTCTGAGAATTTGGGTTATGTTAGCCAAGCACGGTGCATTAAAATAGACTTCAGATGTGTACTATTGACAACATGTGTATGTTACTGACCCTATCAAGCACACAGACATAACTGGGTTTAGTTTAATTATTCTCTTTGCTGGTTATCATTATTAATACCAAATAATACATTTTTTGTTAATCGCTTTGTAAAAACACTGCTTTTGTTACTACTAAGGGTGAAGTATCTAATTTGTGTTCCATATTTTCCCACTGTATGAGTTCCATATAAATACCTCACATAAGCTTATGGTCTGTGATTATACAAAAATCCTGCCCTGCCTAGAAATAGCGTTTATTGATACCTATTTGCTATTAGGAGTCCCCGGGTGGTGCAAAGGGTTAGTGCACTAAACTGCTAACCAAAAGCTTGGAGGTTTGAGTCTACCCAGAGGTGCCTCAGAAGAAAGTCCTGGTGATCTACTTCTGAAAGATCAGTCGTTGAAAACCCTATGGAGCACAGTTCTACTCTGACACACACGGGGTCACTGGGAGTCAGAGTTGACTTGACGGCAACGATTTTAGTTCTTTTTTTGGCTCATTGGCTATTTACGATTGCATTATATGCTGGGGATATAAAGATGAATAACACATCAACGTTTCCTTTGAGGTCCAGCAGGAGAGAGAGGATGTGCAAGTAGATAACTATAATACAAGCCACAATATGTTAAATGCCAGAAAAAATGGTGCCACAAAGTGTCACAGGAGTTGAGAGGAGGGATCAGTTACTCTGCGGATTGCAGTGTTTCAGGAAACCTCCGTGGACAAGATAGCATTGGAAAACAATGGGTGGAATGTGGATGAGCAGAACTAGATGGCAAAGGTTTTCCAGGTGAAGAGAAAAGCGTGACCGAGTGCCTCGCATCCCTGGTAACGGTGTTCCTTGGTCTTTCTCTTTAGACGCTGTGACCAAAGAGAACTACCTCCTGTACGACTTTTCTGTGGCCTCTGTGAGTACAGCTTTTAAGGCACACAGTGTGCGTTCTTTTCTGTGGTCACTTGTTGAGGTTTTGGCTCGGAGGTGCTCAGTCATGTGGACCAGGAAGTGTGAGTGCTGGGCTGTGATGGTCAGGAAGCAGGTTAAAGTGGAAGTTTTTAATCTGTCTTAGGTAGATTGACCAGCTGCCGCGGAGTCTGCTCCAACTCATGGCAATAAGCCTGTTAGAAAAAACAAAAAGCAAACAACCTGTCTGAGTTCTGTGAAGCACTTGTTTCCTCTGGGAAAAGAAGCATCACCTTTGAGTTTCAGGAGACGTGTCCTGGCTTCCAGGATAAGTAACCCCCTTGAGGGGGTCAAGTGTAAGTGGGGTGCGGGCAGCTTGGTGAGTGTGAAGTGTCTTTCTGAGATACTTCCACTGTGGCTTTCCTTTCCAGTCCCTTAAGCCTGGCCTTGGGCACAGGCATCAGTGATGGCTTTGAGAGTCGGAAGGTGTAGAACATCGCAGGCCTCATCTGTTTCCCCAGGGGACAGGGCAGGCAGGTGGGAGGATTCTAATTTGGTTTTCTTACAAGTCTGACCACGTGTGAACACAGAATTTTTTCATGTGTGGGAATCTCTCTCCCTAACTTCTTTCTTGCTTCTGCTTTTTTTTTTTTTAACTCCTAATATTTTTAATTAAACTTTTTCTTTTGAGATAATTGCAGATTCACTTGAAGTTTTAAGAAATAATACAGAGAGATAGATACCTTGTCCCTTTTCTCCCAATGATACATCTTGTAAAAGTGTAGCACAGTATCACAACCGGGATAGTGACATTGATACAGCCAAGTTACAGAACATTTCCATCACCACAGGAGCCCTCATGTTGCCCCTTTATAGCCACACCCACTTCCTGCCTGTCCCCGCCTCCGCCTTAATCTGGCGGCCACTGCTGTTCTCCGTTTCTATACTTTCGTCATTTCGAGAACGCTATGTAAGTGGCATCATACAGTAGGAAACCTTTTGTAATGGGCTTTTTTCATTAAGCATAATTCCCTCAAGATTCATTCAAGTTGTTGTGTGTATGTCTTAGTCATCTAGTGCTGCTATAACAGAAATACCACAAGTGGATAACTTCAACAAAGAGAAATTTATTCTCTCACAGTCTAGTAGGTTACAAGTCCAAACTCAGGGTGTCACCTCCAGGGGAATGGTTTCTCTGTCAGCTCTGGAGGAAGGTCTGTGTCATCAGTCTTCCCTAGGTCTGGGAGCTTCTCTGCGCAGAAACCTCAGGTCCAAAGGATGAGTTTTGCTCCTGGCGCTGCTTTCTTGGTGGTATGAAGTTCCCATGTGTCTCTGCTCACTTCTCTCTTTTATATCTCAAAAGAGATTGCATTAAGACACTATCAAATCTTGTAAACCTCATCAGTATAACTTTATCATAGTGAAAGAGTTTACAACACGTAAGGACATCACATCAGATTTACAAAATGGTACACCATCATACAATACTGGGAATCATGACCCAGCCAAGTTGACAGATATTTCTGGGGGACACAGTTCAATCCATGACAGTGTGCCAATAGTTCTTTCCTTTTTTCTGCTGAGTAGTATTCTCTGGTATGGATGTACCACCAGTTGTTTAGCCTTTCAGCCATTGAGGGACACGTGGACTGTTTCTAGTTCGGGGTTATTACAAATAAAGCTCTTCTGAATATTCATGTATAGGTTTTTGTGTGAAAAAGTATTTGGGTACATTTTTTTTGTGTGTATATGTGAATGCCTGTACCTTGGTGTGCTATGATTCTGTGTGCGTTTGTGCCATTTGGGTTGTTTTATGGATTCGCATCTTGTCTGCTTGAGAAATCTGTGAATTCAAGACTGATTTTCTCAGTGATGGAATAAATAAAAAGACAGTGAACCAGAACAGGGAATAAATACTGCTAAGAGATACAAGACTGTGAGAGGCGGGGCTAAGAAGTTTTTATTCCCTGGGATGGTTGCTGGCATCATTCAGACCCTCAGAGAGAAAGGAGACACCTTAGGTCTTGGAAAGAGGGATGTTAGGCATTATTTGGGGCAGCTGAGTACGATGTATCTAGTCTCTTAAACTGACTTTTTTTTCCTCCAGAACCGTCTACGGGCAAACATCATAAAGAATTACAGTAACTGCTCTGACGGCCTCCAATTTACAGAGATCAGAATCTTGGGAATGGACAAGGAGCCGGCTAATTTTACTGTTATGGTTAACAATGTTCCCATCTCCTGTTCAAATTGTTCAAATGTTGTCTACAGTGCTTCAACAAAGGTGGGTGATTGCTCTGTTCCACAAGGCACGCTCAGACAGCCCTGGCCTGAGGCTCGGCCAGCAGGCCCTCCCTGTTTTTTTTGACTTTGGACAGTGGGCATCCGGAATCCACCACAGCCCAGGGAGGGAGCAGGAAGACGTGGCATGCTCCCGGTGGGCACCCCCCAGCAGAGTGTGCACCAGGACGCTGCAGAGGAGAGTGGAGGAGGGGCCCTGGGAGAAGGCACACTCTTTGAGCAAATTTACAACCAGACAGGCTGATCCCTAATATGACTTAGTGAAAATATTGCTCACCACATGGCCTGACTCTGGAGACCGTGTTCACATATTTGTCCTCTCATTTAAAGTAAAGACTCTCTTTCAGAGACAATTAATAATTTCCCTTAGCGTTTTAAGCTACCTTGATACTATCATAGGAGGCCCCTGGGTAGCACAGACAGTTAAGTGCTTGACTACTATCTGAAAGATTGGCAGTTCGAATCCACCCAGAGGGGCCTTGGAAGACAGACCTGGCAATTTGCTTCCGAAAGGGCAAACTAGAGGGATCTGATGCCCGTGTCCAACCTGGGCCGTGGGGAAGAGGGAGTCACCCAACAACTCTCTCTGCAGGTGACCTGCCCACCCCTTTCCATCTACACTTAGAGGTCACATGCTCCAGGTGCTTCCATCAACTCTCATGCTACCTTTGACGCCTCTGAAGGCATCTCTAATTCTTGAATTCTGGAGGAGCATAATACTGGGGCTGGGTACCAGGAACTCGAGTTGGATAATTTGAGGGAAGAGGGTAAACATGACCTTACATTTCCTGTACATCTACTGCTTGGCAGACGCTGTTCTGAATGCCTTGCAAATATTTCTCATTAGGTGGCGCCTCGGAAGACAGGCTCGGAGATCAGCTTCTGAAAGGTCTCAGCCTTGAAAACCCTATGGAGCAGTTCCACTCTGCACGCATGGGGCTGTCATGAGTCGGAACTGACTTAACAGCAGCTAATAACAGCAACACCATTATAGAAAATAAGAGCGAATATAGCACGAGGGGTAATCCCGTTTTGCTCTGTTGGAATGATTGTTGCTGTTGGATGCTGTGGAGTTGATTTTGACTCCTAGTGATCCCATGTGTTACAGAGTAGAACGGCCCCATGGAGTTTTCTTGGCAGTAACCTTTATGGTTACTTTTCTGCCACAGTACCACTGGGTGGGTTTGAGCCACCAACCCTTAGATTAGCAGTGGAGTGCAAACCGTTTGTGTCACCCAGGGACCTTTTACTGAATGATCAGCTACATGATCATCTGTGATGAAAGATTCCAGTTGACTACTTCAAGTGCAGGGACTCATTGTTTCTAGGGCAGTCCGCTTCCATTTTAACAACACATGTGGCATGGGATAACAGCATGGTTTCTACAGTCAGGCAGAGTGGGTTCAAATCCTGCCTCTACCGTCCCCAGCTGTGAGATCTCAGGCAAGATATGTTGCCTCTCTATACCTCAGTGTTCTGTTCTGTAAAATGGACATAGCTATAGCATTCAGAGCACAGAGTTGCTTTTTAGGATTAAATGAGGTAACGCGTATACGGTGGTTATCACAGTGCTTTGCCCAGGAAAGTGCCCACTAAAGGTTATGAGGTCATTAAAGGTTATTGCTGTTATTGCTATCATTATTAAAGCAGTTGTTCAGGACAATAAGCTGAACAATCACAGGTCTACGTGCAACCTGTACTCCCTAACATGATGAAGCCCTTCCCTTCAGCATCTCCGATTGACTTCCACAATGGCCCATGAGGTCAGAAAGGTCAGGATGAATCAAGTTCATTCTCCTGACAGGGAAGTCAAAGCCCCAGGTGAGAAAAAGCCATATTCCAAATATTCCAAGGCAAAGTGGTCAGGAGAAGGGACAGCTCCTCCAGTCCTGAGCTTCAGACCAACAGGGACATGATCAGTGGCTCTGCCTCTCCCAGTCCATCACTGTGCCTCTGTCCTCCCTCCCCAGGTGGTGACCATCACTGACCTCCAGGGGCTGAGACTGGGACACGAGTTCTCCATTGAGTGGACGCTTCCTGTCAATGACACGGAGAAGTTCAACTGCTACCCTGATGATCCCTCTGCTTCAGAGGAGAGCTGCAGGCAGCGGGGGTGCCTGTGGGAGGTAACTGTTGGGACCGGGGTCACTGTGCTGGGTGGGGGACTGTAGGAACTGTCCCCTAGTACCTGGGCACTCAGAGAACGCCGTTCCAACCTTGGTGTTTGAATGGTGATCATTCTCCAGTGCCAACTGATGCACTTTGTCTACCTGAGTGCCAGGTGTTCCATATTTCCCTCAGATACCCCGAAACGCATCAGCACACCGGCTCTCTCTCTCTGCCAACCGCATCATTAAAGTCCCCCTTTGTAAACGTAGGGTGGGTTTGCGTTGTGCACTGAGTGTTCTAAGTACCCTCCTTTCATCTGTTGGCGAGCCAGGCGGGAGGGTAGGGTAGGGCTGTTCCTTTCCATTTGAACAATAAACCACCTGCTGCCGTCGGGTCGACTCCGACTCACAGTGACGGCGTGTGTGTCAGAGCAGAACTGTGCTTCACTGGGTTTTCAATGGCTGAGGTTTCAGAAGCCAGTCACCAGGCCTGTTTTCTGAGGTGCCTCTGGGTAGACTGGAACCTCCAACCTCTTGGTTAACAGCTGGGAGCGTTAACTGTTTGTACCACCCCAGGACTCCATTTGAACAATAGATTGAAAGTCAGAGAACACAGTGATTTCTTCAAGGTTACCCTCGAGCAACAAGGTTGCTTACCCTGGAGCAGAGCCCTGCCTTGAATTCCACTCCCGGATCTGCTTCCTGCTGACCCCTCACTCGTACAGGAGGCCCAGGGGTATTGTTTTGAAACGGGCCTGGTGTTAGAGACTGAGGCCCTGGCAATCACCTTCTTCGGCAAACAGAGCCAGGAAGTATAGCGAGGGGTGACCAAGACCCCCTGTTTTCCAGCCTACAGCTGCCGCTGGAGTGCCCCCCTGTTACTACGACACCATCCCTAGCTATGCTGCCAGTAACATCCAATATCTGCCTACTGGCATCACCGCAGACCTCACCCTCCTGCCGGATGCCCTGAATCCCTCTCCAACAGTGTATCTGAACCGATCACCCTCGGCCCGCGCAGCTGATCATCTCTCTGCCAGGATCAACAGCCTCCAACTGAGTGTGGTGTACCACACAGAGAGCATGCTACAGTTCAAGGTAACAGCCTGCTGCCGCAGGTCCTGCGTCTCACCACGCACTCTGAACAGACAGCGAGGCCAGGGGAGCGAGGGAATGTCCGCCAGTCCAAACGCCCCATTTTACAGATGAGGGGCAGGTCGGGAAGGGAGCAGGTGACCTCAGAGCCACGAGGCTGGGGACTGGATAGCATGACAAGTGCTCCGGGCCACAGGCATCCCCAGGGAATAATGCTGAGCCCTGGGAAGGGTGCCCATGCCATGGTGAATCCACATGATGGCACTCCCTGACTTCCACCTTAGCGCGGCTCCACCAGTGGTTCTCCAACTGGAGCTGAGACACAGTTGCCTGCCTGCAGGGCGTGTTAGAACCCAGGTTCTGGCCGCCCAGAGTTCCCCATCCCGCAGGTCTGGGGTGGGCTGAGAACCTGCATTTCTAACAAGCTCCCACACACCAGGGGCCACAGTCTGGGAGAACATGGTCTGCTCTGTTCAAAAGATACAGAACTGAGTCACATTTGTTTGCCTGTGGCCACATTAAGAAAAGTTTTTTTTTAAAAGATGAAACTAATTTTGATAACACTTTCTGTAACTACTGCATTAAAAATAGTATCAGTTCACCACGAGATCCATGTAACTATTATGAGATATTTTAGAATCTTTTAATCATACCAGGTCTCCCAGATCGGCAGGGTATTTTGCACTTTTCAGTCTAATGCATTGCACATGCCGTGCGCATCAATTGGTGGACATGGCCGTGGACAGCCCGGCTCCAGACTGTGCTTTTCACCAGTCCGTATGGGACACCCCGCTGGGGGTCTTGTGGAAATGCAGATTCTGGCCCAGAAGTTCTGGTGGGATACTGCTACTTCTGCTCCCAAGAGCGCGTCTCTGAGAAGGAAGCCTTTAGCTAAGGCTTGACCACAGTGTGCGAGGGGCTGACCATGACCGTGAGGGCAAAGACAGTGTGAATAATGGCAGTGCTGCCTGACCTTGCAGGGCACTTGTCACTGCTCCACTTGTTCACAGGGTGCTCCTGTCAGCTGGGCAGGTCTATGGCTCACTCCTGCTCGACAAGAGTGGAGTCTCAGGTGTGGCAAAGCTGGCGCCACCTGGAAGACCACCAGACAGTAAGAAGAGGTCCAGGGCTGCGTGAAAACCTGCTTGTCTAACTCCACCACACACGTGCTCACAGTCACGTGCACACGTGTGTGTCCACACACACTCATACACGCACACCACACTTACATACACATACGCACAGTCACAGGTACACGTGTGTTCACACACTCACTCATACACACACACCACACTTACGTACTCATACGCACACACACAAGCCCACACAGTCACATACATTTTCACACATACTCATACACACATGCACGCACACACACCCACACACATACATGCTCACACACATATGCTCTCTCACACACATCACATACATATTAATGTTCTTACATATACACACACTCAACACTTACACGTACACACACATCACACACTCATACACACACACAAAGTTCACACAGTCACTGGCACATACAGCTTCACACACTCATACACACATACATACTCATACATGCACGCATATACTCAACACACAGTTCACGCTTAGACACACCCAAGCCCACACAGCCACAGGCACACACTCATACATGCACACACTCATTCACACACCCCTCTCTCTCCCCTCACGGTGCTCAGTACTCTGGAACCAAAACTTCTCCAGGCTGGAGCCCCTGACTCTGAATGAGCCTCACTGGGGCCTCTGCTCTGCCTCTTTCTCAGCACTGGGGTGAGTGGCCTCGCATCTATTTGCATTGGAATATTTGATGCCTCGTGTTGTGTCCAAACTAGTCAGAAAATACAGGAACAGGATCATCTGGGCTGGCATGGGGAGTTTTAGGTCTGAGATCCCATCAGGAAGCCTCCTTCTTTCTCCTTGCCAGATCTACAGTTCCACCAACAGAAGGTACGAGGTCCCGGTGCCCCTCAACATCCCAGCCATGCCAGTGGGCTCCCCTGAGCAGCGTCTCTATGATGTCAGTATCCAGACCAATCCTTTTGGGATCCAGATTCGACGGAGAAGCTCCAACACGGTGATGTAAGCAGTACTTATGTGGTCTAAGGAGTATAGTTCTAATTAGAGCAGGTGAAATATTCATCACGGAGATACTACGTGAATTGTGTGTGCTCACGTGGGTTAAAGACAGCGTGTATCTATTTCCCCCTGCGTTGATGGGAAACTCATTCTCTGTTAATCGTTAACTCAACAAGAAAAATTAATCAACCAAAGGATTCATAAAAATGAATTAGGTGTTTGATTTCAGAGAAAGAAAAAGGTATGTGCTACTCACCCTCCTTATTGAGTGGGGAACAGAAAACTGTAATAAGTACAGCACATTACCTAAGATATAAATCAGTTCTACATCATAGCTCATTAAGAAATGACAAGCCAAGAGGCAGGAGTGAGAGGTGAAGGCTCATGAGGAAAGAGAAATGGCTTGTCACTGTTTTTGCGTCGATGCCACTGTAGAATTCCCACCTCTCACAACGCTAAGCGTGAAAGGAGGTGCATTTCTCATCCTGTCCTCCTGGATGAAGGAAGTCAGGGTCTGGACTTTGCCTGGGGCTGAGGCCCCTTCCTAGTAGAAGCTGTCACCTGTGTGCGCACAGGTGTGCTTCCTGTGGCCAAGCTTCTGTTCTCTGTGACCAGACGTCTGATCTTCTGCCTGTCTGTCAGTCCTTTGGTAAGAAGCGCTTCGGCGAATTCAGAATACCTTTTCTGATAGTTTCACACATTTCATTGGAAAATTTGCTGAGACCTTATTTGTTGATTTTTATGCCCTTTCAAGCTGCTATGCCCTACCCATGAGCTAGAGATAAAGAGATAAATGAGACATGCTTCTTGTCCTCAAGGAGCCCTGGACCCAGAAAGAAGCTCTCTGCAAAGCACAGAGTGAAAAAACAGAAAGCCTTGGCAGTGAGTCACCGGCCCTTGTTAGGATCTGGGCCATCTTGTAGTATTCAAACCTGGATGTGCAGCTAGATGTGACCCAGATGTGTTACTGTGCAGAGGTGTCTGGGCCCCCGGGGTGGGTCAACACTGACACCCCAGGGTGTCCCCGTTTGCTGTGGCCACAATCACCTGCTCACATGGACTCTGCCCTGTATCGCAGCTGGGACTCTCAGCTTCCTGGCTTCACCTTCAACGACATGTTCCTCTCCATCTCGACTCGCCTGCCCTCCGAGTACATCTACGGCTTTGGGGAAACTGAGCATGAAAGCTTCAAAAGAAACACGGGCTGGAACACATGGGGAATGTTTGCTCGAGATGAGTCCCCAGGGGTAAGGACAAAAAACCTGTAAACCCATTGCTGTGGAGTCTGTTCTGACTCATAGCGACCCTATAGGACAGAGTAGAACTGCCCTGTAGGGTTTCCAAGGCTGTAATCTTTACAGAAGCAGACTGCCACATCTTTTCTCCTGCAGATGGGCTAGTGGGTTCGAACTGCTGACCTTTCAGTTAGCAGCCAAGCACTTAATCAGAGCACCACCAAAACAAAAAAAAAAAACAAACCAATTCTCATGGAGTTGATTCCAACTCATAACAATCCTATAGGGCCGGGTTTCCAAGGCCAATGGGAGGAAGATGTGGCAGTCTGCTTCTGTAGAGATTTACAGTCTTGGAAACCCTATGGAGTCACTATCAACTTGACGGCAGTTGGGTGGGAATCTTTACGGAAGCAGATTGCCACATCTTTCTTCTGTGGACTGGCTGGTGGACTCAAACCATTGACCTTTTGGTTAGTAGCCAAGGGCTTAACCACTGTGCCACCAGGGCTCCTAAGAACAAAAAGGACAAACAACTAATCAGTTCCCTCTATGTCAGTTCATTTTAATCTTTAAGCTCATATATGGTGCCCTATTCAAGGAGCCCTGGTGGTGCAGTGGTTAAGCACTGAGCGGTTAACTGAACCCACCAGCCCCTCCTCAGGAGATGGATGTGGCAGTCTGCTTCCGTAAAGATTACAGCCTTGGAAACCCTATGGGGCAGTTGTATCCTGTCCTATAGGGTCGCTATGAGTCGGTATCGACTCAAGGGCAATGAGTTTGCTGTTCATACAGCTTCATCTTCCATTGATAATCCTATGGTCAGGTTTTTGTTGTCTCTAAAAGACTTATGTATTTTTTTTTTCCTATGGACTATGCATCTTATTTATTTCACAAACTTATTTAATATATTCTACCTGTCATAAGTGCTTAGCTCTAACTTCAATAAGACACTGTCTTGGCTCTCAGAGGGATTGACTGTGATTGAGAGAGATGCAGAAATAACAGCAGCATGTACTCAGTGCTCTGATAGAGTGACGTAATAATAAACAAGGTGGGCGGCGGGCGCTCAGCACTTGGGGTGGGAGGAGGGGTCAAGGAGGGCTTTGCAAAGGACACGGCATTGAGCTGAGTCTCTACTGGGGAGCAGGAGTTTGCTGCTTGGGTTATGATGTGGAGACACGTTCTTGAATTTTTTCTTTGGATTATCCACCTTCTCCTCCATAACTCACCCAGTACAAGAGGAACTCCTATGGCGTGCACCCCTACTACATGGCGCTGGAGGGCAACGGCAGCGCCCATGGAGTGCTCCTGCTCAACAGCAATGCCATGGGTAAGACTGGGCTCCCTCCCCGTGTACCCCATAAACAGCTGTGACAACCTTATTGGGATCTGGGATATCAATACAGAGGGGACATTCAGGAGCAAGGAAAATGGAACAGACCGACTTTCCAGTCATGCATTCATTTATTCAAGGTTTATTAAGAGCTTTAGGCCAGGTATTTGATCTGCTTCTGTAAAGATTTCAGCTAAGAAAACCCTATGGAGCTCAGTTTTACTCTGTCACATGTGGAGTTACCATGAGTGGGAGTTGACTTGATGGCAACGGATTTGGTTTGGTTTTGGATTTAGGCCAGATACCAAAACAAGCAAACAAACAAAAAACCCAAGCCTGTTACTGTCAAGTCGATTCCAACTCATAGCAACCCTATAGGACAGAGTAGAACTGCTCCATAGGATTTCCGAGGAGCGGCTGGTGGATCTGAATTGCCGACTTTTGGTTAGCAGCCGAGCTCTTAACCACTGTACCACCAGGGCTTGTTGTGGTGTAATCTTATGTGACTGTTACCCGGTAGCTCCTTTCGCAGAGTGATATACGATGTTGAGACTGTATATTCTGTTGGGGGTATCTACAAATTCATCTCTGATTCCACTGGGTGAGAAGACTTTCTAGAGGGTGGGCATTAAAAGAAGAGAAAGCAGTTTAGCACATTTGAGGGCAGGTTCCCTATCTGGGTGGTCTGACAGCTTCAATGATGTTCCTCATCTTCTATCTTTTCCTACAGATGTGACCATCCAGCCCACCCCTGCCCTGACATACCGCACCACAGGAGGGATTTTGGACTTTTATATGGTTTTGGGACCAACCCCTGAACTTGTAACTCAGCAGTACACCGAGGTTGGCAGCCATTCTATCCATTGATAAATCATCAGATACTTATTGAACATTATCAATTCTTAGGATTGTGCTAGGCCCTTGGATGTCCCCACTGTGTTACTGCTGTCCTTCCGGAAAGCCAGATTTGAGTTAAGGGGACATGAAGTCATATTAATATCTCTTCCATGTTGTAGTTGTTGTTGTTAGTTGCTGTTGAGTTGGTTCCAACTCACAGTGACCTTACGTATAATAGAACAAAACGTTGCCTGCTCCTACACCACCCTCACAGTCGTTGCTATGTGTGAGCCCATTGTTGCAGACAATGTGTCAATCCATCCCATTGACGGTCTTCCTCTTTCTCTCTGACCCCCTAGAGAGACATCTGTCTCTTGGCTATTTGCTGAACAGCCTTCCTAAGAATCTCTATAACCACCAAGTTCTCCGGTTTCCTAGAATGGAAGTTCCAGATTATAGGGAAACTTTGTTGAAAAGTTTGCTATCATTCTGAAACCCCATGGTTCTGCTTTTATTTGACTTTATTTTTCTTGGATGAGGACTCACATAGATAGCATTCAGTAGAAATGGTGCTTCAAGTATAAACCCACAGTCCTTTCTTCCCTAAGAAGTTTACCTGGATCCATTCTTCTGTTTGATTCTAGCTGATTGGCCGGCCAGTGATGACTCCATACTGGGCCTTGGGATTCCAGCTGAGTCGCTATGGATACCACAATGATACGGAGATCTCCAATTTGTATGATGCGATGGTGGCAGCCCAGATCCCCTACGTACGAAACTCCCACTCTGTGGTATAATTAGTTACGGGGATTTGTGGCCAACAATATATTGAAAATGTGTTCATAGACATTACTGATATGACTGTATTTCAGTATTAGAAGAAAATGTAGAGATAGCCCAGAGTGGAATATGCTGCTTTTTAAATGTATTTCTGCTACCCTGTTAACATGAGGGCTCAAAGCAAGCGTTACATACATCCTTCAGCCAGCAGTGGTGAGAATAGGGGTGCTTGTGCTCCCTGCCTCTTGTCAGAAGTGTCCTGTAGTAGCCATGGCTGGGCTTAACCCGCAGCTCTGGGACTTCTAAATGGCAGTCGGAGTCCCTGGGTGGGTCAAATGGGTACATACTTGGCTACTAACTGCAACGTTGGTGGTGAAAGATTGGTGGTTTGAATCCACTAAAAGACTCCTTGTAAGAAACTCCTGGAGATCTGCTTCCCAAAGGTCACAGCCTTGAAAACCTCGTGGAGAAGTTCTGCTTTGTAACACATGGATTGCCATGAGTCAGAATTGACTTGATGGCAACTGATAAGTGATAATTTAAGAGCTTATACTGTGACTATTCTTGGAGAGGATAGATGTAAAGTGGCAATATGAAAGAAAGCAGTTAAAATCAAGCCTTCACTTTCTCTAAAACATGCATACACACATATACGTATCATACAGTGACAATGTAGCCCCCCAGATAAATCGCAAGAGTTCACCTAAGTGCCCTGAGCAGCAGAGTTCCATAGATGATGGGCTCTGTCTCCTCTTAATCATCAATTCCTCATCACTCATTCCCTTTCTCTGCTTTCAAGTCTTCTCCTGAGGTCTTGGAGGAATTAACGCTTGGAAGATGAGAATGAAATGGAGTGCTGTGATGTTCTCATCAAAGATAATTTGATACAAACATCTAGGTTTAAGTTTCTATATACTACTATTCTACTAAAACCTATAAGTTTTTATTTACTACTATGATATGTTCTTATTAAACAAATTGAAAAAGATAAGAAAGTACAAAGACAAAAAAATCCGAATATCTACACTACCAAAGCAATCAATGTTAATAATATATCAGTTCATTATTTTCTGAGCTTTGGCTTAAACATGAGTCTCTTCTCCCCCAAACAAGTCTTACGCAGAATCTTAATGCAATAGGGGTGACTAACACCTTCAGGAAGCATCTTTTTCTCACCTGAGTACTAACATCTTTAGGCATCATGGATTGAGCTGGTCTCGTGTATGGAAACCTGGGTTGGTACTGTGTATAGAGAGAGGGGAAGACGTGGTTCTCACCTCAAGAACCACCCAGTCCCTTGAGGACGGCAGAAACATACACTTTCTAGAAAGCGGTAATGTAGTGTAGTTCTAAATGCAAACAAATTCAGTCAGGTCTACTGTAGGAAAAAAAAGACCTAGATGTACAATCATTTTCTGTTTCCCAGATACGTCCCACTTTCTGCCCTTGAACAATTCAACAGCACTTTGTGGAAGGCTCCAGGAGTTTGAGATTCGATGAGTGGGGAAGACAGGAATTGAGGGAAGGAAAGGGGAAAGAATTCCAGGTGGGGAAAGAGAAGGGGGAGAGCTGAGCAGAATTAAGGAGTCAGTGTAGCGGAGTACCGAGGTAGGAGCTAGGGGTGCCTGGCCTGGCAGAGGAGCCCTGGTACCTCAGGGCGGAGGTCTGCAGAGTCCCGAGCACCATGCTTGCTCCTTCCCGCAGGATGTGCAGCAGGTGGACATGGACTACATGGAGCGGAAGCTGGACTTCACTCTCAGCCCCAGGTTCAAAGACCTCGCCCACCTGGTTGATCGAATGAAGAAAAATGGCATGAGGTTTATTCCCATTCTGGTGGGTGTCTAGACAGGTTTGATTCTGCTTTCTGTTTTTGCTTCAAGCTGCAAAATAATACCCCGGGGGAAACTGGGTGGGGGTACATGGGACCTCCCTGTACATTTTTTGCAACTCCTTATGAATCTATAATTATTTAAAAATTAAAAAAGCAAACAAAGGGGAAAAGAACAAATGAAAAAATGCCTTTTGAAAGGTGATACTTCGTAATATTTATTTTTTTTATAACTGTGTGGCACTGAAATATAATCTATTATTACCCTGCTCTTAGTAGAGTTAGAGGTGGGCTGAAACACTGAATAGAGAAGAGAAAAGAAGTGTTTCCTTGTTCAGGCTGGGCCTCAGAGGGAAGAGCAAGGCTCAGGGGCTTATTTCCCCTTGAACAAGTGTACAAACAACCGAATTAAGATCCAGAAGAGCAATTTAGTATTCTATATTGGAAGCTGTCTGCCTTGATAAACACAGAACTAGTCACCTGCAAACGATCCTGCCTTCCAGCTTCCAAAAAATTAGAGCATTGTTTGCTGACTTTTGTTCACTCTTTCCTTCATTCAAATATTTATTGACTGCTGGGTATTTGAAAATCAGCCCTGGTAGCACCGTGGTTAGGTGTTAGCCTGTTAACCAAAAGGTCAGCAGTTCAAATCCACCAGCCACTCCTTGGAAACCCTAGAGGGCAGTTCTACTCTGTCCTATAGGGTCACTATGAGTCAGGATTGACTCAACGGCAACGGGTTTGGCTCTAGTGATATATACGTATACATATATAACCAACCTTTTGATTACCAGACAAACACTTAACCGCTGTGCTGTCAGGGCTCATATACATATAAATTAGTTGATAAGATAATGTTCTTTTTCTTATAGGGCTTATATTATAGTGGGGGAAGATAGCCAACATATAAACACAAAACAGGGTAATTTTGATGGTGATAATTTATGTGGCAATTGTGAAAACGGATACTATGACAGACAGTAGTTAGGGCAGGTGTGGGGTGAGGTGACCAGGGAAAGCTACTTCAGATAGACATGTCAGGCTACAGAATGTTCTTAAAGAATATTGCCGTTACACTCTGGAAGCTCAACAAATTACCTTTCTCTTTATAGATTACTAGGCTGTTAGAAAATCACTCATGCTGTGTCATGTTTTAAAAATTTCTACAGTTTGTTTTTTTTTTAAATTTCATTCATATATCTTTGGGTGGTCATTTTCTATAACATAGAAAGACACCATCTTTTTTTTTGGCGTTTTATTATTTATTTATTTATTTTATTGTACTTCAGGTGAAGGCTTACAGAACAAATAGTTTCTCATGAAACAGTAGTACATATATTGTTTTATGACATT